TATTGGGGGGGACGCTGTGAAGGGGGTCCCGTAAGTTGCAGACCTAGAGTGGGGGAGCGACGTGGGGGGGAATCCCCGGAATTCCAGATTGGGGACTACAGTGGGGCGACGTGGAGGCGGGGGGGTCCCTGAAGTTTCATAGTCGGGGTAGCGCGGAGTCCCCAAAGTTCCGGAGCTGGGGTTCCAAGAGACGGTGCGTGGGGTCCTCGAAGTTCTCTCCCCGAGGTTGGACGAGGCAGAAGAGGTGTCCCTGAAGTTCTGGACCCCGAATTGGGGCTGGGGGGGGACATCGTGGGGCTCTCATAGGATCCAGGGTCGCAGCGCTTGTCCCGGAGTTGGGGCGCACCCAGGGTGTCCTCCTGACGCGGGTGGGGACTGGAAATGGAATGAGTATCAGGTCCCTGGACAGGGGCACATGGAATGGGGTATGGTCGCACCCCATCCCACCCCACCTCCAGGCCCGATTGGGGATCCCGGGTGGTGTCGGACCCCCCTCCGGGAGCCCCACGGCCAGCGGCGTCCCAGGCGCATGAGTCGTTCATGAGTAACTTTCCTCCAAACGCTGCAAGTCGTGGCAGGAGCGGATGGGCCGGAAGGACCTGTGTTCCGGGGCTCAGGGGATCCTCCTGCCCCCCAAGCTCAGGGCCAGGCTCAAGACCTGCCCCCAACTCCTCCGGCCACAGAGCTGCCGCCCCTCCTCCAGCCAGGGGCTCGGGTTTCAAACCCTGTGACCAGACAGCGCTGCCCGGGACAGCATGGGGGGACACCCCACCTCCTTTCCCTCTTCTCCAAGCCTGGGGGTACCCCATGCAGGTTCCCTGGATGCAGGCTGAGGGATGCAGGGGGATAGGATGGGGAAGTTTCCCTGCAAAGTAGGGTGCTGGTTAGAAGAGGCAGCAGGGGGCCCCAGAGGCTGCCAGTGCCCTGTGGGTGCCCGGATTGGTTCATTGACTCTATTTTGTCCTCTTTATTTTATTTTATTTTTTTTAGATATTTCCCTCCGTAGGAGATTGTACTTGTCAGAAAGAGAAAGTGAGAGGGGTGGTCATGCACCCCTGGTGTGATTTTCAGGCCACTGGGTTGCAGACTCAGACTGGTAGAGTGGGCTATGTGGGATTCAGTGCTTTAACCACCTTGCCACTTGCTAGATTGTCTCATCTTCTATTTTTTTTTTTTAATTTATAATAATAATAATTCTTATTATTATTTTCATTAGAGCAGAGACAGAGGGAAAGTGAGAAAGCAAAACACCAGGTCCAGGACTTGAACTGTGGTTGGCCACATGAGAGAGTCCAGCGCCTTAACCACTACACCACCTGCCAGCTCTCTCCCTTTTTTTAAAATAATTTTTTAATTTATGTAATTAATTCCATTTGTTGTTATTATTATTTTAGTACTTAAAAAAAAAAACTTTATTTAGAGGCCAGCAGTTAGCGTAATGGCCATGTCGCTGGGATCCCACGTAGTCGACTGTGGTTCGCATCCCAGACCCGGTGACTTAAACTCACGCCAGGTGCGTGTGCGTGCGTGCCCAAGATCCCGAGAGGAGAATGGAGGAGAAGGGATTGCGGCGTGGCCATCTCCCCTGGGGGTGATTTCTCGCTTTCTGTCTCTCTGTCTCTCTCTGTCTTTCTGGCAAGTGCATGCGCCTTATAGCAAACACCTTTAAAAAAAAAAAAAAAAAAGCACTTCATTTATTTATTCATTTAAATTTGACCAAGGAGGGACAAGGTGAGAGAGAGACAGAGAAAGGGAAAGTGAGAAAACAAGCTGCCAGGTCCGGGACTTGAACCAGAGTCATCCATGTAGGAGTCCAGCACTTTTAACCACCACGCCACCTGCCAGCCTCTCCTTCCTTTTTTTTTTATACTAGGCTGGGGACTTCTTGGGAATTTGGACCTTTGTCTTCAAGGTGTCCTTGTGCTTTTGGATCAAAGCCGAGGGGCTCCCTCTGTGGGGCTCCGTGCAGAACTGACTTCCCAGGGGGCACCTGGTCCCATGGCCTACTTTTTTGCTGGAAGGCCCTGGTTTGGCAAATGATGGATGGGTTTGGCAGGAAGGACGAAGCCGGGTGGGCTGTGGTCTCAGCAGCCCGGTGACTCGGTAACCAGGACGCGAAAGGCTTACTCTGGGACATCAGGGTCCTCTGTCCCTATCACAGAGTGCCACCTCCTGACCTGGCTGAAATCACCCCCAGATCGAGGGAGATAGGGTCCCCTTGGTTCGAATGATCTGTACTGATTCTCTCGCCTTTTATTATTATTATTATTATTATTATTATTATTATTATGCATTCAT